TTATCATTTAAAAGGGGCTAAAGTATTCTCTAGAATTGATTTAAGATTGGAATATCATCAAATTTGAGTTTATAAAAAAAAAAAGTAGATATCACAATGACATCTTTTGGAACTAAGTATGGCTATTTTGAGCTCTTGGTGATACAATTTGGGTTGATGATCACACTAGCTATTTTTATTGAATAGATAAATTAAAAATTTTTAACCATATATAGATAACTTGTGATTATATTCATTAATAATATTTTGAAATATTTTAAAATTGATGAAGATTAAGCTGTTCATTTAAGAATGATATTGGATCTACTAAGAAAAAATCAATTATATGTAAAAATTTTAAAATATTTGTTGATCAAAGTTTCAAAACATCTTTGCATAAAAAAGGAGCTAAATTTGAGGCGAACAATGTCTTGAGTTGGTGAAAGATTTTGATCTTAATATTTAATATTATCTCGAAATAACAAATATGGTAGCTCATGCTTTAAGCCAAAAGTTAACAAAATATTGCAAGCTAAATGATTACTCAAAAGCATGAATTGATTAAAGAAATGAAATCTTTGCAATTAGAAGTCAAAAGATTTAGTTATACAAATGTGTTGTATCACTCAAGTATAAAGCTAACTTTGATAGAAAAAAACCAAAAAGTTCAAAAAACTATCAATGAATATTAGAAGCTAGTGGAGCAAGTTCAATCAAGAAGGAAGCAAGAAGTCACTATTGATGAAGAGGGTACTATTAAAAGTACATTATATCTATGTATACCTAGTGATTCTTAATTGAAGGAGATTTTGCAAGAAGTTCATCACTTAAGATATGTCATTCATCCAAGTATAAAAATGTATAAGGATTTGAAGTTAGTATTTTGGTATACAATCACGAAGAATAAACCAGCCGAATACGCATTCAAGTGTGAAACATATCAAATTGAAAGGCTGAACATCAGAAATCAAGTGAACTTATTATAGCCATCACCAATCTCAGAATGGAGGCGAAATTGCAATGGATTTTCTTATGAAATTTCTTATATCTATACAAGGTCTTGATTGCATTTAGGTGATAATTGTAAAAATAATTAAGTCCACTCAATATTTCCTATCAAGCAAATGAATTCAATGGAAAAAAATTAGCAAAATTATATATTAAAGAAATTGTCAAATTGTATGGGTTTAGGACTATAAAGTATGCACATGTTATGATTTCCCTAGCATACTATGATTGCATATAAATTTCTATAGTAAAGACATCCAAATAACATTAAAAAGGCTTAACGAATAGTATGCATTGCATATGTTTATTGATTCATATCTTTATATTAATCCTAATGAAAATTAAGATTAAGATTATAAAATGACATATGATGCATAAATGAGTATGTGACATTCATCATGTTTTATCATTGATGTACATAATTATGAAATAATGGATAAATGTATGTCAATATTAAAGAATAAAAAAAAAAAGATTAAAATAATAGAATTAAATTCAAGTATATCCTATAGGATGAGTGTGATGAGAATTATATCTAATTGAATCATCTGTTTCTATTACATCATAGCTTAAAAAGTGGTGAAATGGGAATAGTTACATATATTTATGAAGGTAAAGTAGTGTCAGAAGGATCCAACCATACCAAAATTAACCCTACTTGAAACCTTCAAGTTGAAGACAGATTATTCTGTGCGGACACCGAACGGGAGAACCGTTCGATTTAAGCTCAGATACCGAGCGGTACCAAGTACTGCTCGGTATAAGCCCGATACCAGATGTGGGGCATTTTCATTGGGGCCTGAATTCTGAATAGAATAAATTTTCCAAGTTCAAGGCCCCATACGAGGAGATGGAGATAGAAATGGCAGGCCAGGTAAGGATGCAAAGATTAAATTAACCTAAAAGATGTCATATAAAGGACAGCAGAACCTTCTAACTTCTCTCTTTTAAGCATTTACCTAACAAAGATGTATGCTCTTAATTTGATGGGCTTACCTCAGGTCCTATGTGATATCATGACAGAGATAAAGTAAATGGCACCTTTCTAAGCCAGTTGGCCTTTGGTTGATCAACCTAAACAGCCCTTTCGTTGCAGTCCAGTGGAATTATACTGTCCAATTTGCCACCAATCTGAAAAATAGTGAATGCCATGAGCAATAAATAAGATCACAAATTCAAATACTTACTACAACCCAATCAGAACTTCGAAATAGGAAATGCTCTTTCCATCCAATAAGTTAACACATTTTTACAAGACTTCTGTATTATACATTATGTAAAAATACATAAACCCACCAACCCATCACTCCATGATTCTCTTATGCATGCACCACAACCAAATAAGTTAACATGCATGTTAATTTTAGCGGTACAAGAAGCATTGTTCATTGAAAGATTTATAAAATCTTACAATGGATGTGACTATAACCAACATTACAGCATTAAGCTAAGGCTTCGTTTGGGACGACTTTTTTACTGTTTTTTAAAGCAGCTTTTCAGTACAAAAATTTTTTGAACTATAAATTATTGTATTAGAAAGATGCTTTAGAAAGCATTAAGAAAGCCGCCCCAAACGAAATCCAAAGCTGCTGATAACTGCAATCGATTGTCATTTTTTTCATTGCTTTTATTCAGAGCAAATTAACAAGAAATGAAGACCATCAGCACAGAAATAGTTGCGATCTTGTAGCCATTTCTAGCAAGAGATGATACTCAACAGGAGACTCGGATCTTTTGAGGAGACTTGAATATTCATCACTTTCTCGTAAGGATGAGAAAATGTCACAAGCTGCTACACTCTATAGCAGATGACTGAGATCCTCTTCTGCTACTTGTTGGTAGCTCCAGTACAGTGCTCAGGTAATAAGAATGTAGTCAGCACCGTTTAACATATCTGCAGCAGTTGGTGGCAAGTTATGCCTTGAGACACCTTCTCGAACCTTCGCATGTGTCTCCGCATCATGTTTGAACATGGAAACCAGCTGCTGCAGCTCAAGCTTTCTAACGTTGACCTGCTCTTCAGTTGTGAGCTTCTTTAACCCGAGATAGAGCATACCAAGCCCAATTAATATGAATCCGATGAAGAAGAGAACTCCAGAAAATAGTGCAAATGCATATGGAGTATTCTCAGCCCCGGGGATTCCATCCACATTGATCCCAAATAGGCCAGTTATTATAGAGAGAATCAGTCCACAACCGCCAAAAATCCCCAGATTATGAGTGATTCTCAGACTTTTATCCTGAATGACAAATTTAATGCAAGTTTAAAGATTGGGTGACATTAGATGTAGAAAGCTAAACCTTCCTTGCATGTATGTCCATTAGTACCTGCAACCATGCACGAACTGTGCTTTGAAGAACATCTTGAATGGTGAAGAGCCGCCCACGCACTGCTTCCTGCTCCTCTAGCATTTCTCGTGTGCTCTTTCTGATTCCTTCCAGTAGACTTCTTGTGGCTGTTCCCCTCAAGTGCTGCAGAAGCTCAAAGACGATCTCCTCCCTCGCATGTAATGACCATTTAACTCTAATAACCTGCCAAAAACGTAGTGGATATTCGAGGTACATATTCAGATTTGCAGTGCTTTTTGTGGTATTTCAATGGTTCGGGCAACAAATCTTTTTAATAGAATATTAAACAAGTTAATATCTAAGAACAAATGGAACGATAAAAAAAATACAGAGAAATCAAACAATTAAGTTATATAATGATGTTATGTGAGGAGTAATGAAACATATAATAATATCAAAGCCTTTATCCGACTACGTGGTGTTGGCTACATAAATCCTTTGCCTTCATTGTCCTATTATGAGTCAAATCTCATTTAAATCTAATAGAAAAAGGCCATTTCTAATATTTTCTAACGAGAAAAAGATCAAAATAGTCCCCTAACTCTTTAAGAATGATCAAAATCATCTTCAACTATATTAAATAATCATTTTGGTCCTCAAATTTTTAAAAATTTAAGGAATTGAAGAATCACAATGATTTTTTGATATAGCTGGAACTATTTTGATCATTCATAACAAATCAAGGGACCATTTTGGTCATTTTCTAATCAAATCCTTCTTTAACAGAGGCAGAATCTAAAGCATCTACTCTCCTAATTAGGTCATCGGAAGGTCAATGTTTTATAAAAAAAAAACATCTAAAGCAACTCTCTCTAATCTTTTTATCTACCACTGGAGCTAATCCTATCTTTTCACATACATACTCATTTTACATTCTGTCAATAAGAGTGAAGTCACGCATCCACCTGAGCTCTCATCTCTACAATACTTAACTTAATTTTATGCTTCTCTTTTAATGGGCAACATTATGCGCCATAAAGCATTGCAGGTCTCACCACCATCTTATAGAATTTTCCCTTAAGTTTGAGGGGTATTTTCTATCACACAACATGCCGGATACATTCCTCTTTAATCATCCAACAAGAATTCTACTAATATTTTCTCCATTTATTTCACCATCACTTTAAACAATAGACCCAAGATATCTAAAACACGTACTTTTATTAATGACTTGATTGCCCAAAGTTACAATCCCCCCACTAGAACTATTACTACTAAAATTACACTCCATGTATTTGATTTTAGACCTACTCAAATGAAAGCCTTCAGACTCTAAGGTTGACCTTCATAACTCAAGTTTCCCTTCAACTTCCTCTCTAGTCTTATCAACAAGAATATAATATCATTAAAAAAAACATACAACTGGGTACATCCTCTTGCAAGTGTCTAGTAAGAACATCTATGACTAAAGCAAACAGATATGAGCTTAAAGTTGATGCTTGATGTAATTCAACTGAAATAGGAAAATGCTTGGTCAAATCACTTAATAATTTGAATATAAACATTATTAATTCCTTTCTTTTCTAGAACTCTCCAGAGCACTTCTCTTGAAATTTTATTATATGCTTTCTCTAAATCAATAAATATCATATGTAGATCCTCTTTATTCTCTCTAGACTTCTCCATCAAATCTCTTAATAAATTTATAACTTCGATAGTAGACCTACCAGCATGAATCCAAAATAATAATGAAGCATAGATCTAAAAAATGTGGATGTAGAAGAATTTTTTTTTTGCAAGGAAGATCTCATTTTTTGACTTCTCCATCAAATCTCTTAATAAATTTATAACTTCGATAGTAGACCTACCAGCATGAATCCAAAATAATAATGAAGCATAGATCTAAAAAATGTGGATGTAGAAGAATTTTTTTTTTGCAAGGAAGATCTCATTTTTTTAAATGAAAGAAATTAATGGATAATTATTATAATTAATTTATAATTATTATGATTAATTATTAGTGATAATAATTAATCATAATTTATTAAAATTAATTATAATTAAATTTTAATTTAAATTAATTATCATCATTTTATAATTAAATATGGTTAATTATTATAATTATATTTAATTATTCTTAAATTATAATTAATTATTATTAATTTTAATTAATTATAATAA